GACCATTGACATTTCACAATTGACCATCACATTCAATTGAATTTCCAATAGATTATAAATTCAGAATAATAGCTGCCTCAATTCCCATGATTCTCTATATTTTTTACTGCCTTATAAACCGAAAAATTATAATTTCATTGGATATTCAAGAAATCAACTGTTTGATGAATAACAACATGCGCGAATATTTCCCATTCATAAGTCGTTAAAAATTTCGAGAGTAATTTTCCAACAGTGTTCTGGGGTGGAGTGGAAATGTGATTGGGGGAATTATCTTTTTGTGATTGTGGGATTATCTTGGGGGGTGAACAATTTTCGAGAAATGAAAGACTGTATACAAACTATTATAAACAAAATTATACATAAAAAAAGCTCTGATGACAATTCGCCTCAAAATCAATAATTCAATCTCAAGATAATTACATAAATAAACAGAAATCAATCGATTGTATTTAAGCAATTATCTCAGAAACGAGTGATTTTATGAGAAAATGTCACAAGATCTTTTTTATAGCTAAGAAAATTTTCAATGAAAAATGTCTTATGATATTTTGCTGTAAAATTATTCCTCCATGAGATAATTACGCAATTAAATAGAGATAAATCTTTTCAGTCCGTTTAAAATCGATTTCGATTTTTTAATTCTGAGCCAATGTCGAGGATTTTCTCCCCTTAAACCACTCGTCTCCTCAACAATCACATAATCAACAAAACTGTAATATTTCTCTGACTGCATTTCTCAACTTCAATGCAGAATTTTCTGCTCTTGAATAGATGTATTCGCTTCTGGTGTTTAATTTCTACTCCACAGGTTATGATAATTATCATTTCCTCCAGCGGAATAAACGAACGGAAAGAATCAACATTTTTATTCTAATATTCTCCGACAATCGCCGATAGTCCCCAATTATTTAATCGTATTTTAATGGTGAAAAGTGGGCGAATGCGACGTTGCATAGCGCAGTGTAAATGGAGGGAAATTATACGGGATTCAATCGACCGAGTGGGAGTGCAGACAGCACGAGCCCAAATCCCAATGATGGAATAGGCGGAAGGCGGTATGATCAGCCGGACAGCACTCCGGGACAATCGTCAAGGAGTCCAGTTAATTCTATACGAGGTAGTTCTATTAAAGCACAGAGAAAAAAAGTTTCTAGTTTTCACAATTCAATTGATAATTTTAATAAATTTGTCCAGCCCCTGGACATATTTAAATGGCATTCGAATCAAGTAAAGCTCTTCATTACAATTTTTCCTCTTGATTTCAACAATATCACGTTCAAATTCTTATTGATAACAACATTTTAGTTGGAAATTAATGAATTTGTCAATTCATTCTTCAAATGAAAGAGAAATTCATTCATTCGGAATAAATCTTCTACTTTAGAATCAAATAAACGATTCAAGATTATTATCGGTAACAATAATTCAATTTTCAAGTAATACAGTCTTTATTTGGATCAGAGAATCATTTTTTCATGTTTAAAAACTGTTTATTTAATGTGGATGAAAATACGAATAAAAATGAAGTTTAAGTTCGAATGAAAGCTTTAATATGACGGCTATTTGAATAAACCCATTTATTGGAAGTAAATAAAGTTTACTAAATACAAATGTGAAAAGAGTGAGAAATATTTTTGAAATGAGAACAGTTGTGTTTTTGAATTAAGAAAATTTACGTTCTTGAGAATAGAAACGTTCGAAAGGCGTGAAGTTCAAGATTAATTGAAGATTAATTTAGTTAGTCTGTTAGGTAATAAGAAAGGAGTTATGAATGGCTTTGGGAAAGAATTATGAATTCCAGAGATATTTCAAAAGATACTTGAAGCATTAGTAGTCTAATTTTAGAACAGGAAGAATCATCAATTCAAGAATGAGAAGGTTCTCAATTTACGAAACACAAATGTCTGAATTCAAGAATCATGAGTTCCTTAAATCACCGAAAATGTCGATTGTTTTAATAACAATTATACTAGGTTCAAGCCAAAAACCTGGAAATTATTTTTTTCCGTATAATTTTAGATAGAAATCTTTCTAGAGTAAGTTCTTCACAAAAATTACTGAAAAAAATGAAATACAGAGTTGAATGAGACAAGTTGAAGTTGAGGTTTTGAATTCAAAACTTCATGACTTCCCTCTGAAATTAATCAATTCCTTCTGTTAAGGATGTGCAAGTATCTTTTACAGTTTGGTACAGACCACACCATTGATTCCACCATTTTTAATCATCATATTTGTCAATTAAATTGTGTGAGAAAAATTTGAAAACAATCTTCAATGTTCAGCGTCATTCAATTACATTTTGCACAGAATTATGATTTTTTTACACATTCGTTGTTTATCAATAAATAACTGAAATTGTTTAAATTTTCGGAAACCTCAATATAATAATTAATACAATAATACTTTTCTATAAATTATTTATCTAAAATAATCATAGTTTTCAGAAATTGCAAGTTTCAAATTGTTTCATCAATCTTTCTCCTAAAATAAACTTTCTAATGGCTCATTCAGATTTAAAAAAAAATTTCTAGTCGTCCAATATCGAGATTAAAGGACCTGCAAAGTTTAAAAAATAAAATCCTTGTAAAATGTCCGGACAAATGAAAGCTCTGATGTTCGACTACGAAAGTAGAAAAGCATTTCACGAGAGAAAAAATAGCCAAAGTACTTGAATATTCTTAAATTTAATCAAAAATGAGTGACAATTAGAACTTTCCGTTTGATTTTTATAAAAAAGGGTCCTTAGAATAACTGGAAATGTAACGTGCTCCCAGGATTTCTAGAATACAATGATTTTCATTGAAAACTAAGAACTCTTTTTCTCTGTGCAATTGGATTCGATGGTACATGTAAAAATGTGTAGAAATGTCAGATCGAGACTATTAATTACAATCTGGAGTGGCGATGAAAATGCCACGAGGGATACACATGCATTATCAAACATGTGGACGTATGAATAACGCGAGACAGTTGTGTAATCGATACACATGCTCGCTGGGCTGTGTCGCTCGGTTTGTTGTAATCGTGGCGTTTCATCTGACAGCGACGATAAGAGCTGAGTTTTGGGGGAGATAATGGGTCGATCGGTTTTTATAATTAACCGTCAGTTATGATGACGGTTTATGTTATTGGGGTATTGAACAACAACATTGACCATTTTTTTGGACATTTAGGAAATTGCGGAGGAGGAGTTTTGTTTTGGTTGCAATTATCTATTGACGCATTAGAATGAATCAATTTCGAAGAAAATATCTCGAGAAGCTTTTTTTTGTCCTAAAATTCCTCATTGATGAGATAAATCGATTGCTCCATCGGATTATGGAAAATTGATGAATTTGAATTTCTCATTTTTGCATTTATCTCCAGTGCGAGTGGACTTAGCCGAAAATGTCAAATAACATTTTTTGTAGCTAACAAAATTTCCAACAAAAAAGATTTTGTGAACTTTTACTCTAAAATCACTCGTTATGAAGATAATCCCGTATCACTAATCACGGAATAGAAAATTCATTAATTGTCATGAAATTTCGGCTGAATTTTCTAGTTCAAATCCCTAATATTTGCAGCCAGCGACATTCCCACTCAAATTTTAGGAAGTCTTGTTATTAAAAATTACAATTCAGTGGTGTAGCGGAGAAACTATTTGAATCCATTTCGTCCAGTAGTTGGTTTTCGATGAATATTCCGGAATTTAAGGAAGATAGAAGAATTTCTCTGAAGACCTTTTTTTAGCTCTTATTTTGTTCTAGAAAAAAGTCCTTTCCTACCTTCCTTGTAGAACAGAATAAGAGCTAAAAAAAGGTCTAAGAACTGAGTCGACATAAACCGTTTTACCGCTTCGCTGCTGAATTTTATAACAAAATTCAATGAAACTTGTGAATTCCAGTTCAATTATTCAAAAAAAAATAGGAAAATGCCGGTGAGCATTAACAATTCACGCCCATTGAATATTCAATACTCATTTTCAATAGAAATGTCAAATAAATCCTTGCAACCCAATTTTGCAGCTGAAATCTCCCCTGAATCGGATTCAATTTCTCTTCATAAAATTCAGTAGTGAAGCGGTCAAACGATTTAAGTAGACGTAGCTCTTTGCTGAGTTTTCGAGGAATATCTCCCAATCTAAAGGAGATAATGAAATATTCGTAAAAAAAATTATAACAAATATTTTGCTATCTGCATCAGATTCCGAAATATTCATTGAAAGTCAACCAATTGTTGAAATTGTCTTGAGGATAGCCAACCATCTTTCATATTTTGGTACAGACCTCACTATAGACTCAATCATTTCCAATAATCAAATTTGTCAATTAAATTTCGTGGGAAAAATTTGGAAAAAATCATGATTATTCAGCGTCATTACAATTATATTTTGCACTGAATTATAATTTTTAAACATGCGTTGTTCATAAATAAATAATCGAAATTGTTTGAACTTTCGCAAACCTCATTTTTTAGGCATGAAATTGATTTCTGGTAAAACTCTAAATATGAATAAACTTTTTATAAGTCCGAACAAATGATATTTATATTTGAAAATTAATTATTTATAAACTATTTATCGAAAACGCTCGTAATTCTCAAAAATTTCCCTTTTTTCACCCCATTCATTTCATTTTCCCCCCATTGGGCTCAAATGAATCTCTGATGTTCGACTACAAAAATAGAAAACCATTTCACTGAAAAAAAAATAGCCAAAGTCTTTGGATATCCTTAAGGGGTAACAGAAGGCCACCGTTTCCTCGAAATTTTTAAACAAATTTCCTGCTCAAAGTTATTAATGTTTTTCGAAGCCAAAGCCCATCGATCTTCATCATCACCTCCTCGAGATTAATGTGCTTCGATTGGTAAAAATATCGATAACTTAAAAAAAATACCCCGACATTGTCTCCTCCCCCCCCTAATCCCCACAGCGATCCCCAACCCTCCAATCCCATAAAAATACTACAATAATTAATTTAACATCATTAACAAAAATTGAATTATTCTGATTACAGCCCAGATAGAGATAATCCCGTGCAAGGTTTGCGGCGACAAAAGCAGTGGTGTGCACTACGGTGTAATCACCTGCGAGGGTTGCAAGGGTTTCTTCAGAAGATCCCAGTCGTCAGTTGTCAACTACCAGTGTCCAAGGAACAAAAACTGCGTAGTAGACCGCGTGAACAGGAACCGGTGCCAGTACTGCCGGCTACAAAAGTGCCTACGTCTGGGCATGTCCAGAGATGGTGAGTACATTATATGCGCGCATTTATTGTGACGAGGGGGTAGGGGAGAGCGTCAACAAAACCCCTGGGAAGTACATCAAAGCGCTTCACGAGAGCGCTTCGTTCCAATGCCTCCCAGCTTCGTTTTTATGGTCCTCCGAATGATCCCAGGGTCCCCCGGGGTCTTTACGCAACAGACGTACATTTCCAAATTTAATTTCGAGATTTAATCCTCCGTCCTCCCACTGGGGAATTTCTTACCACTTCTTGTTGTTCTTGTAGTGATGGTTTTTTATTACTCTTCGTTTTGGAACTCGAAATAACGCGGGGAAAGACAACATTCGGAGGGGAGATGGGAGAGCTTTATTTAGATTGGGGAGAAAATTTGATGGAAAGCGTTTTCATTAATTTCTTTAAGGATTTTTATGACTGTCGACTTGGGGGGACTGAGAGGAATGACTTCAATTTGATTTGTTTGGTAATCATTTCGGAAATTCAGTCGTTTTTGGGGAAAATGTCGAGAGGGTTTTTGTAGTTGGGAACATTTTTGAAAGATTAAAATGTAAAATGACATTTTTAAAATTATTGATTCTCGAGATGAACAGATTGTCGGAGGGAGATGAGTGGAGTGATCATTGTTTGAGTCAAATATTTTCAACTTCCCGAGCCGAAGGGAGGAAGTTATTGTGATGACACCGAAATTGAATTGGGTATAAAATATACTTGATTCAAGTATATTATATACTCAATTCAAGTATATTTTTTTCCGTGTATATGCAATCGTCTCGGTAATAAGGGCTTATAGGAGAACAACTGGGAAATCTTTTTTTGTCACAACAAAATCAAAATAATTTTGCTGACAAAATGGAATAAGAATAAATAGGAATTTCTCTGACGCTGTATTTTAAATTGAATGCAATGATCCATTTCAAATTTCACTAATCGAAATGAAATTTCAATCAACTCCCCGTGAAAATTCCAGTGGAGGAGCTCATCCTCCAGAAGTATCAGACCGTCTCCACAATATAATTAACGAACCCCCACATACCTTAACGATCGGTCCTCCAATCTCCCCCTGAACCCCGATTAATTACCCTGCAATCCGGTTGCACGTGCACTCCATAATCCTCTTATTCAATTCAATTCAATTAAATAGGAATATAAAATGTGAAAACAGAGTACGGAAACGAGGGATTGAGTGGAGGACCTTGAGGTTGCTAAAACGTAGGACTAACCGCAAGAATGATAACTGAATCAAACGAGAAAACAACTCCCGAAAGATAAAGAATAAAACGATCAGTTTAATAGTAATATGAAGCTACTGTTGACTCAAATTTCAATCACTCACTGAAAATTGAATTTACATGAAAAAAGTTGATTGAATCCAATCGTAAATCAACTTCTGATTCGATGCGATTTATTGCAATCTGCATAAATAATTTCCCCGTTGACTCTTCAAATTCATAATTGATTTGTTTATCAACTCAAAAATTAATTGCAAAATAATGAATTCAATTGACTTTTGAAATTTTGAATGTAACAAGTGAATTCAATGCAATCGTTTAATTCAATTAAATGCAGTTCACAAGCTTTGATTCAATTTAATGATCAACTGATTAAAAGTCATATTAAATTCATCCACATCAATAACCTCCAAAAAACGAACTAATTAAACTAATTTTGAACGAGTAAATGCAGTTAAATGTAAATGAATTTAATGTTCAGTTAATTAAAAACAGAATTACATTTATCAGAAATCCACAAAAGCCTACAAACTCAATGAAATAACACAAACAGAATAATTTCCACATCAAAGGAAAACATTCTGCTCTCCCGCTATCGTCCGTCTGATCACATTGACAATTGCCCACGCCGAAATAAAAATTTAATTAACATGACTAAAGCTGATTAACTCCATCGTCAATTAACTAATGAGTCGATTTAATTTATTGCAAGCTACAGAAATAATTTCCCCGTTGAGTTTTCAAATTCATGATTGCTTTGTTTATTAATTGAAAAAATTAATTGCTAGATAATGAATTCTATTTAGCTCTAAATTTTGAATGTAACAAGTGAATTCAATGCAATTATTTAATTTAATGGAGTTTACAAATTTTAATTGAGTTTAATGATCAATTGATTACAAGACTTATTGAATTCATCCGTAAAAAACACATTTAAAAACGCAGGAATTGAATTATTGAATCCGAATACAAAGAGTAAATTCAACGCAATCACATAACGCAATGAAAAGCACATGAATTTAATTACCAATTGATTAAAAACCGAATTGCTTTTATCAAAAATCCACAAAAGCCCACAAACTCAGTGAAACACCACAAACAAAATAATTTCCATGTCAAAGAAAAACATTCTGCTCTCCCGTTATCGTCCACGTAATCACATTAACAATTGCAATTGCCCACACCAACATAAAAATTTAATTAACATGACCAAAGTGGTTTAAACTCAATTGCTAATTAACTCACGGTTCGATTTAAATTCATAATTGCTTTCTTTAATAACTAAAAAATTAATTTCCAGGTGATGAATTCAATCATTTAATTTAGTTAAATGTGATTCACAAACTTTAATTAAATTAAATGATCAATTGATTAAAAGACTAATAAAATTCATCCACAAAAACATCCAAAAACGAACCAATTAACCAAATTCTCAAATAAAATATATTAAGTTGAACTATTGAATTATAACGGATGAATTCAACTCAATCGTCTAACGCATCAAAAGCAAATTAATTTAATTATCAATTGATTAAAAACAGAATAGCTTTTATCACAAATCCACAAAAGCCCGCCAACTCGGAGAAGCACCACAAACAAAATGATTTCCATGTCAAAGAAAAACATTCTGCTCTCCCGTTATCGTCCACCTAATTACATTGACAATTGCAATTGCCCACACCAAAATGAAAATTTAATTAACATGACGAAAGTTGTTTAAACTCAATTGTCAGTTAATTCACGGTTTGATTTAAATTTATAATAGCTCCCTTTAATAACTAAAAAAATTAATTTCCAGGTGATGAATTCAATCATTTAATTTAGTTAAATATAATTCACCAACTTTAATTGAATTAAGTGATCAATTGATTAAAAAACTAATAAAATTCATCCACAAAAACATCCAAAAACGAACCAATTAACCAAATTCTCAAATAAAATATATTAAGTTGAACTATTGAATTATAACGGATGAATTCAACTCAATCGTCTAACGCATCAAAAGCAAATTAATTTAATTATCAATTGATTAAAAACAGAATAGCTTTTATCACAAATCCACAAAAGCCCGCCAACTCGGAGAAGCACCACAAACAAAATAATTTCCATGTCAAAGAAAAACATTCAGCTCTCCCGTTATCGTCCACCTGATTACATTGACAATTGCAATTGCCCACACCAAAATGAAAATTTAATTAACATGACGAAAGTTGTTTAAACTCAATTGTCAGTTAATTCACGGTTTGATTTAAATTTATAATAGCTCCCTTTAATAACTAAAAAAATTAATTTCCAGGTGATGAATTCAATCATTTAATTTAGTTAAATATAATTCACCAACTTTAATTGAATTAAGTGATCAATTGATTAAAAAACTAATAAAATTCATCCACAAAAACATCCAAAAACGAACCAATTAACCTAATTTAAATAAAATCTATTAAATTAAACTATTGAATCATAACGAATGAATTCATTCGTTTAACGCATCAGAAGCAAATGAATTTAATTATCAATTGATTAAAAACAATTGCTTTCATCACAAATCCACAAAAGCCGACAAACTCAACGCAACAACACAAATAAAATAATTTCCATATCAAAGAAAAACATTCTGCTCTCCCGTTATCGTTCACCTGATCGCACTGACAATTGCCCACACCAATAAAACCCAGAATCTCCTCGCAACACAACCAAAACTCATCGGCTCAAGGCGTGGTGAGCCACGCGTACGGGGTGTACGACCCCTTATCACCTCTCTCAACGCTCGATTCAACGCACGTCTTATCTCCACTCAATTCTCCATAAAACCCCACGACAATGCACGCATAAAGCCCCGAGGAAACATATCGATTGTCTCCGGACAAAAGGAACTGCAATCAATGCTAAAAATCCATTTACCTGCTATTATTCTTATTTCTGGGATCGTTTGCACGATCCTTGGGTTTAATTACCACTTGGTGATAAAGGCGAGAGAGACCCCCTGCCCATGCCCCCCGTCTGACCCTCTGGGAGCTACACCACTTCCGCATGAGGCCAGGAGAAACCACGAAATATGAAATTGTCCTGGACAATGAAAGAAATAATACACTTTCGTGATGAGACTTTTCTCTCCTTTCTTCATTTATTTGCTCGTTTTTTTTATTGAAGCAGTGCCTGTACAAAGAAAACATTGCGGATGTAGTCATTACATGGAAATTAATTGATTCAGTTGAATGGGTTCATGATTCAATTTTTTTCGCGTAGGGAAATTTGGGAATATCAGATCTTTGAAATGAGAACTCGTTTGTCTGATTTTTAAGAAAGATCTTCGCAGGGGGAGTTTTTTACAAATATGTGTAGAGTTATTTCTCTCCAGAATTAATGATTACTGAAAAAATTGAAATTTCATGGACACTTGCGGAGTAATTTTCAGGAGAGTGACATTAAATTCGATTTAGTGGGAAATGTTATGAAATTTGAGATTGCACTGATGATTTCCTCCATTCAAATCTCGATCAGTAGAATCGAATTTCCCTGATTTCTATTAATTTTTGAGGAATAATTCAACTGAAATTTACAATCTCCATTGATTTTTCCCTAAAATTTGGAATTTTCAAGGATGACTTCATTTTAAATTGAATTCAAATTCACAACATTAATATTCACAACACGAGATGCATCCAAATGCATCTATTGCTTAAATTACACTGACAGAAAAAATTATTTTTATTGAGATGTTTCTTTCTTGGAACAAGTATTATATACTTGAATCAATTTCAAATAAATAAGAGCTTA